GACCAGAGCACGCACCACGCGGCCACAGCAGATGTCCTTGACGACCCCCCGAACATCCCGCCGTGGGAAACAGCCCAAGCTGACCCACGCAGCCTCCGCGACCTGTCCCTCGCAGACGAACCCTGGGGGAAGTGCATTCACGGCCAAGGAGCTTGCGAACCAGCGAGAATGGTACGAGGACCAGCAAGGAACCTATAACGGCGACATCCCCCCAGAAATCCCCTGGGAAGGCAGTCAGCAACAGCAGCAGCCACAGAACGTCTTGGCAGGGGAAGCCGTACCCCTTCCTCAGGACCCCTCTGCAACAGCAGGAGACGGCGCCGACGACAGGACCGCGCAGCCGTCCGCACCACAACAGCAGCAGCGCACACCACCATGGGAAACTCCGGGATGGGGAGGCATCCCTTCCTCCAGCAGGCACACGCACTCTGCCACGCGACTTGGGGGACAGACCTCTACGCAACAGACAGCTACAGCGGGACACGGTTCCCAACGGGTAGCCAACAAGCGGGGCAAATACGAGTACAAGCAGCTGCGAAAAATGGGTCGCCAGGTCCCCCGCCCCCGACCTCAGCCACAGCATGGGCCCGGATGGGGCTACCAGTTCCAGGCCGACCGCAACGACCGGGAACGAAAAGGGGGCGCAGACGATGCGCCCAGCACCAGCGACGAAACTAGCTACACCAGCAGCAGCAGCGATGGCGACCACGGGTGGTACGACAACCACGCTCCACACTTCCAATCCCACACCAGTACAGACCCACATATCGGCAACACGGGGGACAAAGCCAGCAACAAGGCCAAAGATGACTGGAAGTCGCTTCTCAACAAGCACCTACTCCCCCGTGACCACCCGGCGACCGACACCCCGGTGCAACCAGACCAGCCGGAAGCGGAGCATGCCAGCCACGCGGACCCTGGGCCAACAGACACCCTCGACTCCGTGCCTGCCGTCGCGGAGGCTCAGGGCCAGGAAGCAGAAGCCGAGGGGGACACCCAGGCCGAAGCACATCCGGCCGAGGAGCAGGACGACTTCACGTGGCCGCCCGATATCCCTACAACGGCCGACAGCACCTACTCGATCTACAGGCTCAACAACGACTGCTGGGAGATAGCCATCGAGTTCCGCCCGGACTTTGTCCCCGATTTCAGGGGAACCTACACCGGTGGACAAGCCGACAACGAGCTGCACATCATCATTGCGGGGGATCGGGGACCCCTCGACAGAGCACCAAAGTTCGGGGCGGGTACACGGCTCCGACTGTGCCCCATAGGCGGCGACAGACTGTGGTACGTCTTCGTCATCGAGGCCCCGCCCATGGACATGACGGAGGAGCACAGTTTCCTTTTGGCAACGGGGGACAAGTTCGCCATCCAAGCAGGGCGAGCTGGACGGTGGGAGATCGAGATGGCGCAAGAAAGCACCAGCCCTCCACAGGAAGTCAAGCAAGCCCGACACTACATCCGCGCACGGGGGACCACACAGCGACGACTCAGGGGGATGCCGCCCACTGGCTCCCCATCCCAAGCTGCCTCCTCCTCAGACCCGCCGCCCCAGCAGTTGCAAGGCCACTCACAGACAACAGCACTCCACCACAGCACAGCCGCCTCTTCTACTGACCCACAGCCACGCGACGAACAGGGGGAAACCCAACACAAGGCCAGCCCCCAGCAGCCGCAGACCTTCTACGGGCCGCCGCGCACCAAGACCCCGACTCATGTACCGACAACAGGGCAGCAAAGCCAGAACCCGCTCCAGGATGGCCGTACACTTCGACGCGGACAACCGGACCGCAAGCCAGACGACCCGCATGCAGCCCCACCGGCAGACCCACACTTTTACCCGCAAGCCCGAGATAGACGGAACCTCGGCGGGCGAACCAACCAGGGGCCCTCACCGCCACCAGCGCCAACGCCGGACGACCCAGCACCGGACCAAGACACGGCAGCTATGATGCAGACTACCCCGGCCGCCCTCAAGAGACAACACGGGGGCCAGCCTGACCCAGCACCCCAAGACACAGCCGGGGGAAACCCAACCCAACAGCCGGGCGCAACTGCAGCCGACCCCGCACTCGGCCAGCACAGGCCACCCGCCCTACAAGCACAAGCCACCCCCACTACCCTTCCAGCAAGCAATGCAACAACGCTACAGCTGCCGGAACGCACAGGGGGGGAACTGCAAGCCACCACGGTTGCGAACCAAACTTCTGACCCCGGGGCCCCTCTCAGAGAGCGAATCCCTTCATGGCAAAAAGTTGAGAGGCACCTCCTTGCAATGAGAAGGTTAGCCGAACACCTGCCGACTGGGGGAACGATAGTGGCCGTTGTCGACTGCGCCCTCGCAGACGTACTCATGGACAGCGATGCAGAGCAGCATGTTGACATGTGTATAGAGCAGTTGTTAGGTCTGAGCCATGGCACGGGGGAACAAAGGCCACCCAAGCGCCGACGGCAGGTGATGACAGCCAGACAAGCTATTCGACAGCTCTCAGATCTGGCCCGTGTACAGCTGGCGGAGCGGGGGAGGCCAGTCACTGTGGCCGACCTAACCCCATGCCTGGATGCAGTGGTTCGCTGGTTACAACGCATCACGGGGGAAACCTTGAGCGAAACCAACATGCCTGACCTGATGGCAACTCTACGACACGTTCTCCAAGCTATTGGGGAAGGGACAGCGACTCTGGACCACTGGCGACAACTGCTGGCCGTGGGGGATAGCCTTCGGTCTCTGTTCGAGATAACAGAAGGGGAACGAACGGAAGAGAACGTGCAACCGGAGCTCGGGGGCATCCAACCTGGAGAGTACGCTCTCATCTTCGAGCAGATTGCAGCCTCCTTCGCGCAGTGGAACCACGACGAGCAGGCAACGCTGCAGGCCGACCTCCTCAACCTGTTGCACACAACGTCAGCCATCTTGCACAGCCAAGCAGCGGATGTCGCTGCCAATGCTGCGGATTCTCAGCCCCCGCTCCGTCGGGGGGACCCACGACAGGCTGCGAGACAAGCCGACTGGTGGCTACATGATAGGCATCATGGGCTGGGGGACAGTGCAAGAATGAGCGTCGATGAGGACACAACAGCGGGGGAGGATCCTCGAGTGAACCTGCTTCCGATGCTTCCCACCGGCGCCGACGAGAACTCGCTGCTCATGCCCAGGACTACTTCTGACCCCGGGGGAGCCGTGAAAGGGGAGCGACCAAAGTCATGCCGCGGGGGAGCGAGTTTCATGTTTACTTGTTTCCTTTGGTTTGCCTTGCTGGGTCGCTTGTTTTCCTGAATAACCCCAGCGACATGCTCCTTGGGTCAGCCGAGCAGGGGGAAACATCCCTGCAATCTCAGCTTCAGACTTCAGGTTGCTTGCGGGGGACTTGCTTGTTTGTCTCCTTGGTTTGGGGTCCTCTGAGTCTCTTTTGGGATTCGGGGGATTTGCTTCGGGTTCCTCCATAGGTGCACCTCCGCCTCAATAATACCGAGGGGGGACACCGCACACGCAGGGAGCTGCAGCGCCCTTAGACCTCCTACCGAGAAGGGGAACGTTAGCCGCGTCTTCAGTGTTCAGGTTGATTTCTGGGGGCTTGCTTGTGTGCTTTGCTTCTACTTTGGGTTCCGGTAACTCAATACGGCTTCCTTTCTCGGTCTCTTCCCCGCCTCAATAACACCGAGGGGGGAAGGAGTCTCCTCTGGCAGGACTGCTCCATCTCTCGGTGTTTAGGCTACCTTACTTTCCGCTAGCTGTCGTTGTTTTGCCCTGAGATTACAGCGTTGGAGTCAGGGGGACTGCCTCTCGCTGTAGAGTTCTGCTCTAAGATGCCGATGCTCGTGGGGAAAGAATATCTGAGATCCTTAAACCTTGCATCGCTAGTTTCTTAACTTGTTTTCCGAAAACCGAGCATCGATGTCTTTTTACCGACACCCCCACAAGGCCCTTAAACAGGGGCGCGCCATCCGGCGCGGGGAGCCTGACATGCTCCCTGTACCCCGGAGAAGAAGAAGAAGAAGAGAAAGAGAGAGAGAGAGAGAGAGCAAGGGGAGCTTCCCCTTGCCCATAGCCCTGGCGAAAGAAAGAGAGAGAGAGCCGGGACGAAAGAAGGAGAGAGACAGCAGAGTTCTCGTCCCTCATGCCCAGAAGAAGAAGAGAGAGAGTTCTCGTTGAGACCCTTGTGGGCGGTCCGCTGGTGCCAGGGGGCCCTGTGCCCATAACCCTTGCACGCAAGCAAGCGGGCCGGCAGGCAGGCAGGCAGGCAAGCAGGCAAGCAGGCAAGCAGGTAAGCAAGCAAGCAAGCGAGCAAGCAAGCAAGCAAGCAAGCAAGCAAGCAAGCAAGCAAGCAAGAGAACCAGGGCGCGGCGAAGCGGGAGTGAGAGAGGGACGCCGACCCGCTCTCTGGCTGTGCTCAAGAAGAGATCGTGACGATTCACAATCTCATTGTTGTCCCGATACAGGCATAGTATCTGGGATGTCTCCCTTTGCCAACGCATCGGACACCAGCATCTATGCCCCCAAACTTAGGCTTACCCACTTGCACATCGTCCGGTACTACCAGGCAGGCTTTACTGGAGCCTACCAGCTTGTGAAAGCTTGTCTGCTGTGGCCAGGGTCGGAGGTCTTTGCGCAAATAGTGTGCGTTCTGGCTGGTGTTGGCAGAGAGGATGCAGTGATACCATCAGTTTCGATATATGATATATTGTTTGCAGGTGTAGACCTAGACTCAGACGGAAGCAGAAGATGCAGGAACTGGCGAGGGGTCTGTGGCATACTCATTGTTGCTCCAAAGAAAACACCTCCCCGATTGCTCATTTAACTCACACATGTGCCCGGTGCATGCGCGGCAACTCAGATGTTTCCTAAGCATAGCCGTTAATCCTGTTGCTTGGATGCGGATACGGTCCGCAAATAACGGCATAATCGCTTTCACCGAAGATCCGGTGACTTCATTGCAATGTCCTCACGAGTCCGGGTAAAAACAGCCGTCTGAGCCGTTGTATGATGTCCATGAGCCATGGCAGTGAAAAGATGCGCGTCGGCACCTGCCTTGGGAAGGAGGATTACGGCGAGGAATGCATCTGAAGCACGCATGTTGCGGGTGTTGGATCACCAATGGGAGAGAAAGGTCTGCTGGCTCAATGCTCAACAGCAACGGTTGGATGCGAATGGCACCAGAGAGGGTGCGACACAAAAGAGTAAGGTTGATAAGGCCGTGGTGCTCAAAGAGCGCGCGCAGAGCCCCATGCTTCGCAGCGACTCGAAAGTGGCTTTGTCAAGACCTTTGTCCTCCGTCGCTACGCGAAACTCGGTTGAGTCAGTGGGTCCCCAGATGTTCTCCGGTGAGCGACCCGGGTCGGCGATTGTCCGAAGTCCATCTGATGGCGTGCCAGCTAAGTTAGAGGAGAGAATCCCCAAGGCTGTGTCCAGGATTGCTCAAGGTTTGCAGGTGGCCTTGCTAGGTGCCAATGCTGGAGAGATGCGCAAACAAGAAATTAAAGGAGTACCGCTCAAAAAGATCTTGTTCGAGCCGTACGAGGCGGATGTTTGCCGCATCTTTCGTCATTTCCTTCATTTGAAAGATGTTGAGGAGGACCGAACTGCTGCGAACAAGGAGAGGCATCGACAGAGACTGGTGGAGTGGGGCAAGTTAGAGCCAGATGAGCTCTTTCAAACCGACGACGAAGAAATCCCTAGAGATCCTCTGTCTCGAGTCTCCTGGGCCACCTTCTTCCGCTGGGTTGAGCAGGAAGCCAGCTTCGGAGTTCACCCAGAGTCACGGCGCGCCTACTCCGCCCTCTTCCGTGGAGCACGACTCTGGCTTCGGGCTTGTGCAAGCAATGCACAGCGGAGTGAGGGGCTATCTCTGGGGCTGCTGTTGTTATGGGCCTACCCCACTGTATCCAATCGGGTGGTTGCAGAGCTGCTGGCTTGGATCGGCGCCCACGAACTGGTGCCTTGATCGTTGCCAGATTTTCTGGTCTTAGGCTAAGGGGTACGGGAACGAATCAAAACTCTGTTCCGGAATCGCTCAGGAAAAAATTCGGCAGGAGCCTCCTAGACTCATCGATGATGACGAGCGGAAGCAGCTTGAAAGGATGGGGGCTGGCTTCTGGTTAAACGAAATCCGTTAGGGTTGTCTGCAGGCGCCCCGGAGAGACGACTGCGGGTCGTGATCGTGCATGAAAGTGCACGCCGTAGTGTCCTAGCCGTCCTAGCCAACTGCGGTCAAGAGTGGCTTTTGCAGGATTTTCCAAAGCGCCTATGCAAAGGGCCGTGCCTTCGTCACTGTGGACGACATCGCCGGAGGGGACTTCCAAGACAAGCACACTCAGCTTCATACATTGGTGGAGTCTTTGCGGTAATCTTGGAGGATTTCAATGCAGCCATTCCGTTCCAGTATGATAGTGTCTTCTGGCATCTTGCGGTACAGAATATTATAGTACACTCGTATTCTCGGTAATAGTTGAGCTGAGAGCGCCGAGGACGTGGCACTGGCACGGGAAGTCTTCGGCGATGCGCCGAGCCCTGTTCGCGTAGTTCTGCCGTTGGGGTTTAGGGTTAACGGCGGTGGGCTGTTTTTGTTTTTGGTCCCTGTAGGTTTTGCTTTTGGTACTTTGGGAAAGGCTCTTTCATTGCCCTGGGTACGGTCAACAGCATGCATGGACAGAGTCCGAAGAAAGCCCTCCGGGCTTGTTTGTATCTTCACCAGCGTAGACAGGGTCTAAAAAAGCCTCTCTCCTGCGCAAGGGTTCTTCTTCTGACAAAAAAAACTTTCCCCTCAGCGGACAGGGCTTTCAGTGGCCCCTCTGCAGCCCGGAGTCGAGATTCCTCGGGCCCGAGATGTTGAGATAAAAGCCCTCCTAACCCAACGACGGGTTTGAGAAGGTCGTCTTGTGCACCCCTTGCCACCCAGAGGTCTCAAAGAACGCCCTCCCCCAGCGGCAATGGGGTTTAATTGGGCCCTGTGGGGGGCTGCAAATGGCCCCGGAGTCAAAAGGAACAAATGAAGCTTGGATGAAGGCAGATTGCTCCTTGTTCTGACTTTCTCTAGTTCCTTTCGAGCGGTTTGCTCCTTGTTTTCAAACTCTGTAGTCTCGTTCGAGCAGTTTGCTCCTTGTTTGCACTTTCTCTAGTGCCTTTCGAGCGGCTTGCTCTTTTTTTTTCAAACTTTCTAGTCTCTTTCGAGCAGTTTGCTCCTTGTCTTCACTTTCTCTAGTTCCTTTCGAGCGGTTTGCTCCTTGTTTTCCAACTCTCTATCTAGTCCCTTTCAAGCAGTTTGCTCCTTGTTTTCACTTTCTCTAGTTCCTTTCGAGCGGTTTGCCCCTTGTTTTCAAATTTTAGTCTCCTTCGAGCAGCTTGCTCCTTGTTTTCACTTTCTCCAGTTGCTTTCGAGCGGTTTGCTCCTTGTTTTCAAACCCTCTAGGCTCTTTCGAGCAGTTTGCTCCTTGTTCTGACTTCTTTCTCTACCTTTCGAGCGGTTTGCTCCTCGTTTTCAAACTCTCTATCTAGTCCCTTTCAAGCAGTTTGCTCCTTGTTTTCACCTTCTCTAGTGCCTTTCGAGCGGTTTGCTCCTTGTTTTCAATCTCCCTAGTCTCTTTCGATCAGAGTTCTCCTTGTTTTGCTTTCTCTAGTCTCTCTCTCGAGCGGTTTGCTCCCTTGTTTTCAAACTCTAGTCTTTTTCGAGCAGTTTGCTCCTTGTTTGCACTTTCTCCAGTTCCTTTCGAGCGGTTGTCTCCTTGTTTTCAAACTCCCTAATCTCTTTCGAGCAGCTTGCTCCTTGTTCTCACTTTCTCTCTTTCCTTTCGAGCAGTTTGCCCTTTGTTTTCACTTTCTCTATTTCCTTTCGAGAGGGGTTTGCTCCTTGTTCTTTCGAGCAGTTTGCTTCTTGTTTTCAATCTCTCTAGTCTCTTTCGAGCAGTTTGCTTCCTTGTTTTCACTTTCTCTAGTTACTCTAGTTCCTTTCGAGCGGCTTGCTCCTTGTTTTCCAACTCTCTATCTAGTCCCTTTCAAGCAGTTTGCTCCTTTCTTGCACTTTCTCTAGTTCCTGTCGGGCGGTTTGCTCCTTGCTTTCAAACTATCTAGTCTCTTTCGAGCAGTTTGCTCCTTGTTTTCACTTTCCAGAGTTCCTTTCGAGCGGTTTGCTCCCTTGTTTTCAAACTCGCCAGTCTCTTTCGAGCAGTTTGCTCCTTGTTTTCACTTTCTCTAGTTCCTGTCGAGCGGTTTGCTCCTTGTTTTCAAACCCTCTAGTCTCTTTCGAGCAGTGTGCTCCTTGTTTTCACTTTCTCTAGTTCCTTTCGAGTGGTTTCCTCCTTGTTGTCAAACTCTCTAGTCTGTTTCGAGCAGCTTGCTTCTTGTTTTCACTTTCCCTCGTTCGTTTCGAGCGGTTTGGTCCTTGTTTTCAAACTCTCGAGTCTCTTTCGAGCAGTTTGCTCCTTGTTTTCACTGTCTCTAGTTCCTTTCGGGCGGTTTGCTCCTTGTTTTCAAACTCTCTAGTCTCTTTCGAGCAGTTTGCTCCTTGTTTTCACTTTCTCTAGTTGCTTTCGAGCGGTTTGCTCCTTGTTTTCAAACTCTCTATGTAGTCCCTTTCAAGCAGTTTGCTCCTTGTTTTCACTTTCTCTCTAGTGCCTTTCGAGCGGTTTGCTCCTTATTTTCAATCTCTCTAGTCTCTTTCGAGCAGTTTGCTCCCTTTTTGTAGTTCCTTTCGAGCGGTTTGCTCCTTGTGTTCAAACCCTCTAGTCTCTTTCGAGCAGTGTGCTCCTTGTTTTCAATTTCCCCTATTCATTTCGAGCGGTTTGCTACTTGTTTTCAATATCTCTAGTCTCTTTCGAGCAGTGTGCTCCTTGTTTTCACGTTGTCGAGTTCCTTTCGAGCGGTTTGCTCCTTTGTTTCAATCTCTCTAGTCTCTTTCGATCAGTGTGCTCCTTGTTTTTACTTTCTCTAGTCTCTCTCTCGAGCGGTTTGCTCCCTTGTTTTCAAACTCTAGTCTCTTTCGAGCAGTTTGCTCCTTGTTTTCACTTTCTCCAGTTCCTTTGGAGCGGTTTGCTCCTTGTTTTCAAACTCCCTAGTCTCTTTCGAGCAATTTGCTCCTTGTTTTCACTTTCTCTAGTTCCTTTCGAGCGGTTTGCTCCTTGTTTTCAATCTCTCTAGTCTCTTTCGATCAGAGTTCTCCTTGTTTTGCTTTCTCTAGTCTCTCTCTCGAGCGGTTTGCTCCCTTGTTTTCAAACTCTAGTCTCTTTCGAGCAGTTTGCTCCTTGTTTTCACTTTCTCCAGTTCCTTTCGAGCGGTTTGCTCCTTGTTTTCAAACTCTCTAGTCTCTCTCGGGCAGTTTGCTCCTTGTTCTCACTTTCACTAGTGCTTTTCGAGCGGTTTGCTCCTCGTTTTCAAACTATCTAGTCTCTTTCGAGCAGTTTGCTTTTTGTTTTCACTTTTTCTAGTTCCTTTCGAGCGGTTTGCTCCTTGTTTTCAAACTCTCTAGTCCCTTTCGAGCAGTTTGCTCCTTGTTTTCACTTTCTCCAGTTGCTTTCGAGCGGTTTGCTCCTTGTTTTCAATCTCCCTAGTCTCTTTCGAGCAGTTGCTCCTTGTTTAATCAATTCCGTCAGTTTTTTTCGAGCGGTTTGCTCCTTGTTTTCACACACTCTAGTCTCCTTCGAGCAGCTTACTCCTTGTCTTCACTTTCTCTAGTTCCTGTCGGGCGGTTTGCTCCTTGTTTTCAAACTCTCTAGTCTCTTTCGAGCAGTTTGCTCCTTGTTTTCACTTTCTCTAGTTCCTTTCGAGCGGCTTGCTCCTTGTTTTGAAAACTTTCTAGTCTCTTTCGAGCAGTTTGCCCCTTGTTTTCACTTTCTCTAGTTCCTTTCGAGGGGTTTGCCATTTGCTTTCGAACTCTCTAGTCTCTTTCAAGCAGTTTGCTCCTTGTTTTCACTTTCTGTAGTTCCTTTCGAGCGGTTTGCTCATTGTTTTCAGACTCTCTAGTCTCTTTCAAGCAGTTTGCTCCTTGTTTTCACTTTCTCTAGTTCCTTTCGAGTGGTTTGCTCCTTGTTGTCAAACTCTCTAGTCTGTTTCGAGCAGCTTGCTTCTTGTTTTCACTTTCCCTCGTTCTTTTCGAGCGGTTTGGTCCTTGTTTTCAAACTCTCGAATCTCTTTCGAGCAGTTTGCTTCTTGTTTTCACTTTCTCTAGTTCCTTTCGAACGGTTTGCTCCTTGTTTTCAATTCTCCAGTCTCTTTTGAGCAATTTGCTTCTTGTTTTCACTTCGTCTAGTTCTTTTCGAGCGGTTTGCTCCTTGTTTTCGCTTTCTCTAGTCTGTTTGCTCCTTGTTTCACTTTCTCTAGTTCCTTTCGAGCGGTTTGCCCCTTGTTTTCACACCCTCTAGCTCTTTCGGGCAGTTTGCTCCTTGTTCTGACTTTCTCTGGTTCCTTTCGAGCGGTTTGCTGCTGGCTTGCAAACTCTCTTGTCTCTTTCGAGCAGTTTGCTCCTTGTTTTCACTTTCTCTAGTTCCTTTCGAGTGGTTTGCTCCTTGTTTTCAAACTCTCCAGCCCCTTCGGAGCAGTTTGCCCCTTGTTTTCACTTTCTCTAGTTCCTTTCCAGGGGTTTGCTCCTTGTTTTCAAACTCTCTAGTCTCTTTCGAGCAGTTTGCTCTTTGTTTTCACTTTCCCTAGTTCCTTTCGAGCGGTTTGCTGCTTGTTTGCAAACTTTCTAGTCTCTTTCGAGCAGTTTGCTCCTTGTTTTGACTTTCCCTTGTTTTCAAACCCCCTAGTCTCTTTCGAGCAGTTTGCTCCTGGTTTTCACTTTCTGTAGTTCCTTTCGAGCGGTTTGCTCATTGTTTTCAGACTCTCTAGTCTCTTTCAAGCAGTGTGCTCCTTGTTTTCACTTTCTCGAGTTCCTTTCGAGCGGTTTGCTCCTTGTTTTCAAACTCTCTAATCTCTTTCGAGCAGCTTGCTCCTTGTTTTCACTCTCTCTAGTTCCTTTCGAGCGGTTTGCTCCTTGTTTTCAAACTCTCTAGTCTCCTTCGAGCAGTTTGCTCCCTTGTTTTCACTTTCTCTAGTTACTCTAATGCCTTTCGAGCGGTTTGCTCCTTGTTTTCCAACTCTCTATCTAGTCCCTTTCAAGCAGTTTGCTCCTTGTTTTCAATTTCTCCAGTTCCTTTCGAGCGGTTTGCTCCTTGTTTTCAATCTCCCTAGTCTCTTTCGAGCAGCTTGCTCCTTGTTTTCAAATTCTCTAATCTCTTTCGAGCGGTTTGCTCCTTGTTTTCACTTTCTCTAGTTCCTTTCGAGCGGTTTGCTGCTTGTTTTCAAACTCTCTAGTCTCTGTCGAGCAGCTTGCTCCTTGTTTTCACTTTCCCTAGTTCCTTTCGAACGGTTTGTCCCT